CCCCAAAACCCCAAAACCCCAAAACCCCAAAACCCCATGATGTAAAAATCCATAAATATTGATAATTAGAAATTTTTCAATATAATAGTAATGAAATTAAATATGATTTTTAGTCATAGTATCCTTTTATTGATATCTTTGCAAAGTTTAATAAAATTCTTGAGGCCAATCTAAACATCGGAATATCAATGCTTTAATCAACACAGATTTCCAAGATGGATATAAAGCGATCAATATTACACAGTATATTTAAGTTTAGAAATAGATGAGCCAAATAATAATTAAAATATATTAGCAGGAGGGATGATGATCGGCGGAGAAGAGAGTTATTATCAACCTTTCTTAGAATATATAGGAGAATAAGGATAATAACTTAATTTTATGTCAATTTACTCAGAATTTTATCCATATTTATTTCATTAGGACTTAAAGATAATGACAGATTATCCCTATAAGAGTATTCTTTATATAAAAGATTATTACTTTATTACACATTTCATAATAACTTATGATCATGCTCTAGGTGTTGTCATTTGAGTTTTAAAGTTAAGTGGTATTAATTCTTTCTATAATATAGGCTATAAGCTAAAATAAATAACAGACTAGAAATTTAACAAAATCTTTTTAAGTCTTTAAAGTTGGGATAGAATTATCTACATTTTTATGGATATTAGAGACCCTCAATAATACTAATTGTATTAAGTAGAAGATGCGATTAATTTCTCAGTTGTTACTGATAAATCAAGATCATATTACTTTTTGCAAACTAATATTTAAAATACGTATTCGTTGCTCATTTTTAGGAATTTTGATGGAGAACTCACAGAATAAGGATATTTCAAATTGTTAAAAGATCAAGATTTATCCATTAAAAGAGGAGCTGAAATATCAATAGATGAATCAAGGGAAGACTATTTTTCTGTCTTCTAGTGTTTTGACAGATACTTTGATTCACAATTTAATCTTCTCTAAAATGTCTTAATTATGAAAACAAATTTAAAATTAGACTCTGAGATAGCCTCTGAATTTGAATAGTATATCAGAATAATAGATTCATACAGATGTATAGCGATTGATAGCACTAAAGATTCATATCAAATTATCTCTTTGACTAATGATTAGTCATCTCATTGCTTTTTTATTTCAAAAAATATAGATGAATAATTGGATATGATTCTATTAAATTGCATGAGCCTAGTAAATAAGTAATTTACAGATTTTATAACTGGCTCAAAAATCTTTGGGAGAGATTAGGACAATATCTTTTTATATATTTTTGGACGTATTTCATTTGAAACTTTTGGAATGGGAATGGGATTTATTGGAGTTACTTTGTAATCATAATCTTGCTATTATAAGTTTGATCTCAAAGAATTTTCCTAATATTAATGGGTATAAATTGGCATAGCAAGTAATGGATTAGGAATCATACCTGAACCAGATAGCGTAAATCAAACTGATCCGGTAAATTTAATGTACAAGTTTCATTCAAATATTATTGCCAATTTTACCTGCTAGACATAATATGAAGCCGAACCCTTTTCATTATAATTAATTGATGTAATAGTGGGCTAGTCATTGTAACCAATCTATATTGAGAATGTCAAACTCAAAGGTTTAGTCTGTTTAGATCTTACTGATGAATTGATGTTTTCTAGCAACTAAAACTATATTCCACATTTTATTGGATTAGATTTTAATGGGAGATAAATTTTCATAGCTAATCCTAAAGTTTATGATTTAGGTACTTACTAATTAAACATTTCCCATGAAATCAATAACGGCCAGATATTCTAGCAATCTATTACTATAAAAGTTAAGCAATAGAGTTAATGTGCAATCACAAATGTCACTATATTTGGTGCATCATCAACACTTAATTATTTTGCTGGAGATGAGCTAATAATATTTGATGTAAACTTTAAATTTAATTCAACTATTTTGTGCTAATATTAATCAACTTTTGAATCGCCTGACATTTCCAAAAATATGCTATTGAGTTATATAACTAAAATGGATGATAATGGTACATAGTACAGATTAGCATCAGATTCCTCAATTATACTATCATTCGATTTGATCATAAGATGCTGAGTGATAGAATCAAATCTATAAGACTAGATAATTATTAGGATCAACATATTACCTTAATGTGCTAAGTCAACAATTTTAGTTAGTTCAGTCAAAAATATGAAAGCCGATTGCAGAATAGACTAATCAGTGGAATAAGAAATACCCATATTCGCATAAAATTTTGCTGAATGTTCTAACCCTTAATTTTAAGTAGTAGGCAATGAAGAAGAATTAGTAAAATTAATTCTAAGCGAAGATTAAATAGTCTTTATAGGAAATTGTTTTCAAAATTTGAACCGTATTAATACTACTATTACTCTATAAATTTAAGCTTATTTTCAATAGCTAAACTATATTTCTTATTCTCAGAATTTTGAAATCACTTATTATGATTCTTGTACTGATCCTTCTTTTGGCTAATCATTACTCCCAGATTGTAAGACTTTTTCTTAATTTTATATTATTTAGAGACGCAGTACCTAAAGTATTAATTAGGTGATCCACCTTTGATATACGATTTAATTAACTGGAAAGTAACTCCTGAATATTGTCCCCTAGATTTTCAATTCATATATGGTGAGGACTTATCTTTACTAACTTTTTCATTTGCGAGGTGGAGAGATGGCAATTTACTTATAGAAACAAATGATATTGAAGAAGTAGGAGAAATTCAATTTATCGTAGTCGCAGATATGTTAGGAATATTATGAGAATAAATAATGATAACTTTGACGATTGAGGTACCAGACCCTTGCATGTTGCAAAAACTAAATCTTTCAGTAAATGATACTATAGTTTTCGATTCTGGATTAAATTTAGTGTCTTACTAATAACTATAGCCAGCTACTTTTCAAAATTATAGAATTTTCTGCGGAAATATAACTTATATACTAGAGATTGAAGATAACTAATTAGTAAGTAAAGAGATTTTAACCTTCTTTGATTATAACCTAACAATGAAAGCCAACGTCACTGGCTTATTAACAGCGGAATTATGCGAATCTTTCTTCACATATTAATTAACTGCATATTTGACAGATTACTAGTATATCAAGGTTTTATAAACTGGACTATTTCAATTTCGTTGTAGATGTCTTTAGGATAAGATAATAAGCAATTAGGATGTAGTAAATATTAGCTATTAATTGGAGGAACCTCCAAAAATTCAATATTTCAATCTATTTTCTCGAATTTATCATTGTCCTATGAGCGATTTTAGTTTAGATTATTTGCCTGAAAATTTAGATATAGCTTAATTTTCCTTATCAGAAGATACTGGGTATACAGGTTAAGATTTGATAATAAAAGTTGAGATTCCCTTTTCTTCAAATTATGATTCTGTAGGCACTTATACTTATTACTTGAGATTAACAGCTTAATTTTTTTACCTAAGAATGGGCGGAAGCTTTAAATAGTATATTTTTGAAAATTCAACTCTTGTCAATATCAAAATCTTGCCTGGATGCAGATAAAATAAAGTTGTATCAGCTGCAAGTATTAACGGAACTACCATCGATGTTTATTTAGGGGAATATAAAGAAGTTATATTCGAAGATTGGGAATATTTAATTCCTGGCTGCCTAATTGATAATAATTATCATGTAGAAGCTAAAATATAAGCTTTAGATTTTGAAAATCTTTTTAAAACAGTTGATTATGTCAACATCTCTAAGCTTAATGATACTTAATATAAGATGTCAATAAATCCTTCTAATCATTCTTTAGTTGGACTTCAGTAGCTTTATATGCTAAATTAAGATTTAGGCTAAATTATTACTGAATAAAATGTTAGTTTCTTTCTAAATATTATCGATTCTTGCCAAATAAAAGAGTTGATCAAACCTTCCTTTAAATACTATCAAGAATATCATTTAGGAGAAATTAGTATGGTAATTATTCTACTCCCATTCATATTTTAATAAGACTGTGGAAATGTATCATTCATTTAAGTAGTAGAGATATAGAAAAATACTAATTAAAATTAGAAGAATTCTATTGAATTTATTCAATATTATGAAGATTAAAGTTCATTATAGATTTACTCAATAGATCCTGAGGATATAGGGTCGTATTAAGTAATAGTGAAAGGTATTATTCAATCAAAAGAAATTGTACTGCAATAATCCTACGAGTTTACTCTTAGAGTATCTTCCTAGTAGTTGAAAGCTTACAATGAAATGCCATATTTTATAGAACCGCTCCCAGATATGAGTTTTGATTCTTTAGAAAGACACATATACTAATTTCCTCCTATTAAGGGTTTTTAATAAAATGGAATGTCAATATAAATAGAAGAATAGCCCAGATTTGCTACTATAAATTCTAAAGAAATAATTCTCGAGCCTACAGATGAAGACATTGGGTCATATACCCTAACTATAGTTTTCATTGATAACAAATATGGCTAATTATTATCTAAAAGCTAAATGAAAATTTAAATTAGATCAAATTAGAAAAACTAAAATGAGTAGGATATTCTTGTCTAATAATATCTCTAAGAAACTCTAACAGATTTTACTTTCAATGATATTAAAATTCAGAAAAAATAACTGGCAGGTAAGATCAAAGCCAAGATCGAGAATATAGATCAAAATGGATTAATTTCGATTAAATTTGACTCTAACTTACTAAAGCCAAAGTAAATCTATTCTATAATCTACTTTGAGGCATTTTCCTTTTTCATATTAGATTAGCAAAACTAAAGGCTAACCAAACTTTAGGCTAGGAGTTAAAATCTGACTATTAAAAGAAATCTAGAACCACTGTAGAATAATAAACCTTATAATATTTCTGAATTTTCAGAAAACTTGGTATCAATTAAGATCGACTTTCCAAATCCGATTAATATATCATAATTATAGGTAAGATTCTTTATTTTACCGAATATCTTAGAAATATGATGTGATGTAGATAAAGATTAATAAAAAATACTTCTTTGTTAGTGATGATTTAAAAAAGGTTGTTGATTCTGATCAAAATCTATATCATGAAATTCCACCTTAAATGCCGAATACAGGTATATTAATCTATTAATATTTAAAGTGGCTACAAAAGTACTAAAAGCATTAGTATAAGTTGCTTCTCCTTCACTAACTGGAGCAATAACTTCTAATATTTTTCTTTCATTAGTCCTTGGCTTATCATTGAAAAAATTATGGATGTTAATCCAAACTTTACAGATTATTGTCCACCTGCCGATGCTCCAGGTTCCTTTACCTGCAAATGTCATTTTTTGCTTTAGCTAAATAATTGACATTTCAAATTTGAATGTAATTCCAAAGTAATACATTAAAGAGGTATTGAATGTATTTGTCACAGATTCTAGTGATTCCTTACAAGGAAATTTCAAAATGATGGATATCTTTAAAATTCAATCTATAACTTTTCAAATCTCATGCTTTAACTTTGATACGTTATGAATCTAATAATATACTTTACAATTTAGGAGCTATATTTTTTGCTCTTGCTTTTGCTATATTTTTTGGACTAATAATTCTTTTGATAGGAAGAGTACTAAGAAAAGTATAAATGTAAATGATAATGCCTTTTACAAAATGTGATATAGTTTTGTAAAATTATTGGATATCATGAAAAAGCTTTTGTTCTTTAATTTCTATATTAGATCGACAATGAAAGGATACTTAAATTTCGCTGTTGCCACTTTAATTGGGATTTAAGCTGTAATCATTTTTTTTTATTCTCAATAGGCTTCATTTGATGATGCAATGTCAATTGCTTTTGCAATGTTTATGATCATTTACTTGATCTCAATCATTATTGTTATAGCTTTTTTCTTTAAGATATATGAGCAACAGCTTGAATTGTAAAAAGTCAAAGAAAGATTTAGCAATTTATACATGTCTTTAAACACAAAAGTATTTTGCTTTGAATACTAAACTATACTTTACTTCGTAAGAAGAATGATATTTTCGCTTTCAATAATATCACTCAAATCATTTCCGATTCTTCAAGCTATAATACAAGTATACTCTAGTCTGATATTACTTTCATATGTGATATTTGTCCGGCCATTTTAAAGAAAAATTGATTTATTTTTTGAAATTTATAATGAGTTCACACTTCTATCGATGTCCTATTTTTTATTGGTATTCTAAGAAATAATCCAAGATAGTTAGTTAAGATATGATATAGGATGGTTTATGATTGTAATGACTCTATTAAATATTTTGATAAACTGGCTTAATTTAGTTATTTCTTTATTCTACAATATTATAAAAGCGATTCTTAGAAAATTAAGGCAAAGATAACTAAGTAAAAAGGAAGAAAGCTTGAAAAAGAATGATAATTAAAATAATTTGAATATATCTAAAGATCATAACTTAACAAGCGCTAATATGATCTATAAATCTGTAGAAAATGATCTGTACAAATCATTCAATAAACCAGCAAAATTTGATTAGCAAAATCCTATTTTCTAGTTTGAATAAGATTGCTTTGAAAAAAGATAGAAAAGGTCTGTTAAAAAGAAATCTAAATACAGAAAAAGGTTAAGAAGTTAGATTGATATCTAAAACAAAATAGACCCAATATTTATAGAGGATTAAATATTAGACAAAAGTCCTAAGAAATCAATTAAAGTATAGATGCTGGTTGTAGAAATGGATGATTAAACTATTTAAGTAGGAGAAAAAGTCTAAAAGTGCTTGCCTTAGAGCAAGATTTGATGTAACAAAATATAGCATTTTATATACTATAATAAGCTGAGTAAGTATAAATTACGATTAATTTGTTGGAACAAATTTCAAGATGTTTAAAGACAAATACAAATTTAAATCTGACATTGTATAAATATGAATCAGAAATTTAAAAATGTTATTGAGATATGATATTAAAAATTTAGATATTATTTATAAATTATTAATTTCATTTTTTCCTATTTTAAAATAAACTAGCTCCTAGGGGTTTTGGGGTTTTGGGG